CAAACGTTAGCGTTACATGTATTTATTACCTCAGTATTTAGTACCATGTACAGTCAGTCTTATAAATATTCGTACCCTCTATGTCTATTGTAGAAATTTGTTTAAATTAAATGGTAAATTTGACGTATGTTTGTATAAATATGTTAAAGTATATATAAATATGTATAAGCTTATTCATATACATATTTTTAATGAAAAATTCATTTGGTAATATCAAAACTATTATTTAATTACATCAAACTTCTTCAATAGACATAAAGGGTACGAATATTTATGGGACCGACTATAGGTATCGATAATTATAATTATATAAATTATTATAGTCTTATATGTACATACATCACTATCAATATTGGATATTAAAGTCACTAAAGACCTTGTAAAGTCACGTGAACCACCCAGAACCCCTCTCCTTACACTTCCTGGTCCCATTATCAAAACAAAACAAAGGACTATAGCCAAATATATCTCTAAAGTCCAGTTGGCCTGAGAAAATTCAATCTCAACAACCCGCAGATCAATCATAACTTCGCGTTCAACACGCAACTCTGATCGACCCGATCGGTCTGCAGCTTTTGCAGATAGCTTCTAGCTAAATCAGCGATCTGTGGATGCGTCGAATGCATCGGTGGCAGGGGCCCAGGATGTTGCTTCCGGTGTCTGAGCAAACTGGATCGTTGGGTGAAATCCTCCTCGCAGACGTCGCATTTGTAAGGTCTGATACCAGCGTGCGTCAACACGTGCTGGTAGAAGTTGCTGCTATTGTTGAAGATCTTCTGGCACAGAATGCAATCGTACAACTTCGCTTGGCCGTGCTTGAACCGTTTGTGACTCATTAATTCGCGCGTCCCGCGACACTCCTTGCCGCAATCCTCGCACTTAAAGCCCTTCTCGTGGAGTCTCAGGTGGTTGTCCAGCCTGCTCCTGTGGAGGAACTTCTTCCGACACAGGTGGCAAGTGTGCTCATACTTGATCTCGCCGATCCGTTTCTTGTGCCTCCATTCGTGAGCTTTCACGTCCTTCACCTCCTTGCCGCAGAACCGACAGACGCGCAGCTCCAAGACGTGAGTTCTCTTCATGTGATGCGTGAGGTCTATCTTCAGCTTGTAGCTGCGACCGCAGTGCTCGCAGACGTACTTAGGCTCGAATGTGCTGTGGATGCGTATGTGGTGCCTCCTCAGGCTGCCCTCGCTCTTGTACTTCACGCGACAGATCTTGCACTCGAAGAAGTAGTCGGATCGATGGATCACCTTGTGCTCCTCTAATGCTTGAGCCGTGTGGCATGCTCTCTTGCACAGGTTGCACTGGTAGGGCCTGCGATGCACGTACGACACGTGGGTCTCCACCTTCTGAGCGTTGCTGAAACGCTTCTCGCAAAAGGGACAGGTGTTTCGAATTTTCTCCAAGACCTGGTCGACCTCGACTTCGCCCTTTTGCGATTCTGACGGGCGTGCTGGAGATTTTTCCTGGTTTGAATCTGATTCGCTTGTTGATACGCAGGAATTGCTAGCGATAGCCATCGATGACTGCTTTCCAGGTATCTCCCGAGCCTCTGATTGCTCGCAGTCTGTTGGTAGAATGGGATTTATCCCGTTTGATGTTTCATCCAATTTTCTTTTCCTTTTACGAACCACTACTATACGGACGATCGAGTTCCGATCTGGGCTTCTTCGTTGTCCAGCGTCGAGTTTTTCTCTGAAACAAGGATAATGCGTGTTAGTGCGTGAAAAGTGGACGTCGTTCGTCGAATGTCATTTTTAAATTAACGAAACGGATTGTTTGTTGTTGACAGGAACGCGGGAGAAAAGGCTTCATCAAAATTCTTCTTGTTTTGTTTAGCGACTGTTGGAGATTGGATACCTAGCACCGAAGTCACTGTTTTCGTAACTTTGGAAATATATTTGAAATATAACTTACTTTTGCGCTGTTTCATACACACTTGAGACTTTATAACGAATTACAGCGAACATCACTCATTGTTGATCAGGGAACTTGATATTACTTTCAATTTTGCACACGATATTTCGGTGCTACGATTCTTCTAAAATATCAGGTAAGTCGTTACGTATTACAAAATATTCGAAGCGTATAATCAACATGTTGTAATTCAATTTTTACGAGATATTATTCGTTAACATATCAAACATTTACAAACATATAGCTACGTAACAGGATCTGGGAATATTTTAGTAAGTGGAAGGTGAATGATTTTCAGTTGATTTTATTATGAAAGCATAGTCTATCTAATAAACTGTTCAGCGAGTAAGATGTTAATGTTTCGAATGTGATTTACAAAACAAACATTGAGAGAAGACTGATGACTTGTACACGAATATACATCCACTATCGTGTATCCGGCATACATATTTTTAATACGATATGACGTACTCTAAGAGACAGTTAAGATGTCGAGGGAATATGCTTTTTGTTATAATAGTTAATTAGGAAGTCTTGGATTCTCATTTTTTAACTCGCACGCGCGTAACGTAAACATTTTCCCAAAAATCGTGAGCGCAAATGTATCGCAGGTTTGAAAACTGATCACTGACGCAACGAAAACCTCTGCAACAGAAATATCATCTCATTTTTCTAATCACCGACAGGGAACAATAATAATAATAATAATAAAAAAAAAAAAAAAAAAAATCTCACTAGATATAAAAGACACGAAAAAGACCTTAGATCATTTCTGAAATGCCCTCGAAAGCATGTCAGCGTTCGTAAAATACTTCTTCCGGTATTTAAGTCTGATAAATATTTCATATACGTACACTTTTATCAAGACGCAGTCTACAAACATTGCAACGTATTTCGATCTATAACAACGATCTTCGCAGGTGCTGAATGCGGTGAAAGGCGAAATACTTTCAACACTTAGCGGTCCATGTTTTTAATCTGTTAAAAGACTATACATGTCCGATTACTTTCACAAATAGAAATTACGTTGTTGACAGGATTGTAAAGTGGCTTTATTTACATTAAATTGTAAAATTGATGTGTTTCGTTTTTTAAACAAAATTTGAGAATGAACAAAAGATTGGATGAAAATGTAAAAAAATGTATATTATTACACATGACGAGTGTGATGGGAGGGGAGAGTACAAAATTTAAAAAAATTCGCAGTTTACAAACAACCCCAAGTCATGCTGTGACTTTTGCTACTCAAATTAATATATGAATTTTTTACAATATCTTCCCACCTTTATGACATAGTCATTATATCGTCACTATAAAATTTCTATAGTCTTTTTTTATTAAATGTTGACACAGTCTACAGCACGAACTTATGGGATGACCTAATACAGTACCAAACTGCTTAGAATTCCTAGGACCGCTAAGGGTAAACATCAATCGACCATTTCACGCGAGTATGCGACAGTTTTAAACACTAAGATTTTTGCAAAATTTTCTTCGCTATGGCCGCAATGGAGGTCTTGTCGCTCAAAGGTGGCAGAGGTCCCGGGTGCGTGCTTCGATGCTTTTTGAGGCAGTGCCTCTGAGTAAAATTATCCCCGCAAATATCGCACTTGAAGGGCCTGATGCCAGCGTGGGTGACCACCACGTGGGTGTGCAAGCTGGTTCTGTTGTTGAACTTTTTATCGCAAATCGAGCACACCAGGCTCGGCCCATGAATCAATTGCTTGTGTTTCTTTAGAGCTGTTGGACGGTCGAAGACCTCCTTGCAATGTTTACACTTGAAGCCGGTCTTGTGCATCAACAGATGATTGTCCAGGCTGTTGCGCACTTGGAACTTCTTAGAGCAGAGGTGGCAACAGAACTGATAGTCGACCTTCTTGTTAGCCTTTCGATGCTGGTTCTCGTGGTCCACGATGTTCTTGACAGCTTTACCACAGAATCTACAGACGTGTGTGACGTCCATATGGGCGCGATCGATGTGCACAGCCAGGTCGCTCTTCAATCTGTAACGTTTATCGCAGTGGTCGCACACAAACTTCGCTTCGATGGTGCTGTGCACCCGTATCTGATGATTCCTCAGTCCAGACATGCTCTTGTACCTCATACGACAGAAAGGGCACTCCAAGTAATCCACGGAGTGGGTCTTCATGTGATCTTCGAACGATTCTTTGCGAAAATAGACGAGGTAACACTGTTTGCAGCGGTACGGTTTCTTGTGATTGCGGAAGACGTGTCTGTCCATCTCCTTCTCGTCTATGAAGCTCTTCTGACAGAACGGACAAACGGTTCGCAGTTTCTCCAGCATCAGGTCCATCTCCCCTTTGGGTGAGTCGGGCTCCAGGACTATCTCTGGTTCCTGAGTGACGTTCTTGTCCTCTGGTTTCTCATCGCTCCCCTTTCGAGCCTCCACCACCGATTCTTTCTTTTCTTTAGGTTGTTTAACTTCCGTCATCTGCTCGATCGCTCGAGTAGGCGTACCGACCGTCAATGGTTCGGTTTTCATTTGCGGCGTTACCAACGATTCGGGTTTGAGCGGCACGGTGACCTTCTTCACCTCGTAGGAAATCGTACCGTCTTCGTCTTGAACAGGTATCAAGACGGTTTTGATTATGTTGCAGCCCGTCTCGTCCATTACTTCGACGGGCACTAGCATGTTCTTAATTTTTCTCGTTTCTGGATCTCTGACCGGCACCAACACCGTTTTCTCCGTGTTCACGAAATCTTCCTTGATTATTTGCGGAGAAGCATCACTGCTGACTCCGTTTGGTACGTCGTTGACGACTTTGCTAGCGGTCGAACATGATAACGAATGATAATTCACTCCTCCTAGGTACAGATCGTCGTTCATGTCGCTGTCGTCGTCGTCGTCCTGTGTCTTTTCACTACTAACGTCATCGCAAACGCTATCAACGTCGCTACGCTTATTATAGTCCTCCTCGTCATCGGAAACAGGGGGAGTTTTAATTTGAATCGAGAACTGATCACTTGTACCTTGATCCAGAACGGGCACACCGGGACATTCCACAAAATGTGGTCGGACTGGGTTCTGTGCGGATGTTTCCATGCTCGTTGACACCCTGAAACACCCATTGGTTCGATTAGTCGCAGGAAAGTATCGACACGCTAAAGATGTAAACAGAAAACGATGAAACACAAATGCTTCGAAGAAAGGCATCGATTTTTGGGATGTTTGTACGTAGGACTCTGTACTATTCGAAATTTTGTTTATTTTTGTGTTCGATTTTAGTGCTTCGTTACATGGTATGGCACAGAAGGGAGAGGGGACGTTTAGGGTAGGGATTACAAGTTACGTAGCGAGCACTGTACAATTTCTGAAAAGGATTTAATTAAAGGAACGTGGAACTCTGTACAAACGATCTGTCGAACATTGAACTAAAGTGATTTCATCATAAAAGTTAATATAAATTTATAGTTAATACTACTTACACGGATAAGTGTTACTGCTTCTAGATTTCGATAATGGACTAACTCGTTTACATTCTCCTTTGATCGATGTGAAAGTCATAGAGGAGGATTAACAATTTAGCGGTTTCCTATTAGTTGTTCATTGAATAGTTTCAACGTATTTTGTACATATTCACTTCGAAATGCAATTTCAATTACAATTTTTTGTTTACCTCTCCACATTAAATAATAGGCAATACGTAGGCTCAGTTTCGCGATCAAATATTTCTAAATACAGAGCAATTGTTTTATAAAATCACTTTCATAAATGAAAATAGGATAAAATGTTCAAGAAATAAGTATTCTAAATACTAACTACGGTAAATGATGACGATAAAAGTTTATACACAAACGATGTACGTAGCAATGACGAAATGGAGAAATATAGAAACAAGTCGCTAGACTGTGGATGTTTATGCGAATTCATATGCACAGATGAAGAACAAAATTGTCTTCTGCATGTAACGTGTATTTTATTTTCTATATTTCATATATTTATGCATAAATATTCGCAGTCTAGTCATCGTGGCCCACAATCATCGATACTTCAAACAACCCAGTGAAAGGAAACTTAACACCAGAATTACAACACTAAACCTGCCAAGCGAGTCACTTTCAAACTTTTTCTTAAAATCATTCATTTATCAAACAACAATTTTCCTCTAATTTTGAGGGACAACTAATATAGAATAAATTTTATCGATAAATATATTTAATACATAATATATCATTAAAAATATATTCTGTTCTCCCTCTAATTACAAACATACAGTTGTATACAGTCAGTCCCAGTATTCGTACACTCTATGTCGATTAAAAAGAATTTGTCTAATTTAAATGACATGCTTCATATATTTCCGAATCAACTCTTTATTATAAATATGCACATGAATAAACTTCACACATGTATATATTTACAATTACAAATTTATTTGGAAACATGAAGCACTCCTTAAAATTAGACAAATTTCTTAAATAAATATAGACGGTACGAATACATATGGGACTGACTGTATATAATAAACACGACTTAGGAAGTTTCAGTGTTAACAATCATACAACAGCCTCTCTAAACCACGACTTCCCGTCACCTCTCACGATTCACGGAACAGCTAAACACGTCACTTGGCCACAGAAAAGTCACCGAAAATGTATCTGACCCCTGAGAAACTCAATCCCCCTTATTCTTGCGACTGCGAAGAATCAGAGGAGGAGGAGGTGGGTGATTTCCAGGATGTTTGCGACGATGGGCCATCATGCTGCTGCGTTGGGTGAACCTGCGTCTACAAATGTCGCACTCGTACGGCCTTTCTCCCGTGTGAGTGACCCTGTGCACCCTGAGCGAAACCGATGAGGCGAAGGACTTGGAGCAGAGCTTGCACTGGTAAGGACGTTCGCCCGTGTGCTTTCGCGTGTGCAGCTGCAGAGAATACTTATTGGCGAGCGATTTGCCGCAATGAGCGCAGAGATAACTCTGTGAGTGTATACTAGCATGACTTTGAAGATTGCTCTCACTGGCGAACTTTTTGTTGCAAACGTTGCAATGGAACGTCTTCGGTTCTCTCTTCTGTATCCCATGCGCGATCCTCTTGTGAGCTACTAGGTAAGATTTCTGTGGATAAACGTTCTCACAGTACTGGCAGGGGTAGGTCTTCATCCATAGAGGATGAGGCTTGTGCCCCTCTGGATCTGGAGCCATGAAGATCTCCTTGTTATGCTCCCGCACTGTCTTCGGGTCCACGCTACTGTGCACGCGTATCTGATGAGCTCTCAGCCCAGACATACGTTTGTACTTCTGGTGACAAAATGGACACTCGACGTAGGTATCCTTTTCGTGAGTTTTAAGGTGTTCCTGAAGAGCATCCTGCGAAACGTAGCTTTCGTAACACCTTTTACAACGGAACGGTTTCCTATGGTCCCTGAAAATGTGCTTGCCCATCTGTTTCTCGTTTTTGAATGTCTTCTGGCAGACTGGGCAAACCGTACGGAGGTTTTCGAGAATGTTATCCACTTCCTCTATCGATGCATTAGTTGCTGGGATTTCTTCCAAAGCTTCTTTCTCTTTGTTTTCATTCTTTCGCTCTTTATTCTTAAGATCTGCCCGAGGTTTTGCTTTCTTCTTCTCGATGACCTTACCTTCCTTTTGCTTTGGTTTCTTTTCACGAACTTTCTTAACCTTCGCCGACTTCTGTTTGGTCGACGACTGCTTCTTATTTTTTTTCGGCAAGCTGAGCTCCGGTTTAATTGGCACTATAACTTTCTTGATCTCGTAGGACACCGACCCATCCTTGTCCTTGATCGGTATGAGGATACTTTTGATAATGTTCAAACCACTCTCGTCCTTCACTTCAACTGGTACGTACGTGTTCTTAATTTCTTTAGTCACTGGGTCTCTGACAGGAACCAAAACTGTCTTCACTGGATCTTCTGAACATGGTTCTTCTTTAACTATGTCTAAGGTGGAGCTATCGCTAACTTCAGTTTTCAACGAATCACTATTAACAAAGCACAATGACGAATCATCCTTAGCGTCTGACAATGAACGATAGTTCGCTTCACCTGAGTGAAAATCGTCATTTTCCATCGATTGCTTGATGTCGTCGTCAAAGTCCACGCTATCCATCATACCACGGTTTTCTTCCTCGTCGGAAGTCGGGGGGTCCTTGATCTGCATTGGCACTTCATCCTGGTCCAAACTAAGAGATCCGTTACATTCTATAAAAAGCGGTTGCGCTGAGTTCTGTGTCGTTTCTGCGATCTTCGACATCCTGAAACATCCATTCATTTAGTCAGTCGTACGAAAGTATTGAGGCGCTCGAGAAAGCGAAAAACAACTAACTATCATCGGTATCGCTGTCTTGTGGTTCTGTGCCATTCGAGATCTCGCTTATAGGTATGTTACTGTATGTTTTTGGTGGTTAGTTATGTAATTGTTATACGAAAGGAGAATAAGTGGATATTGTTGATTGCATAGTGACGATTTGGTATCCTAAAAAGATGTAATTAAACGAACATTTCGGTACATATTTGATATACACTACCAATTAATCACAGATTCCACAGCAATACTTGAGCCGTTCATTGCGCAAATCGATTAACTACACTTTTTGAAAAATCTTTAATTTAAGTGCTAAAACATTTATGGTCATAACTTTTAACATTAATAATAAGGAAATTTTAAAAAACAACGTACATTATTTCGAGTTAATCGATTCTTGCAATCGCATCCTACACTCTCTTAAGAAATTACCTTGTCCTACAAGTATCATACAATGAAACTGAATTAACATGATAATTTTTTGTTTATTCCACGCGAACCATCGATATTCTTGGTAACATAAAATTATGTAAATAATGGTAAAGCCTATCGTATATAAAATTACAGTAATGATTAGAAGTAGACAGAAAAGTGATATTGGCAGTCCTCAATATCAGCATAGAAATGGGAATTACAAAAGAGATTTATTTAGTTCTGTGCGATTCTAAGCACTTTACACTACCACTACGTTTGAGATCATACACGATACAACAAATGAAATGTTCACACAGTTAAAAAATTGCAAAAAGTAATTTTTCTTCTTCATCGAAGACTGGCCTTTATAGTCTATACAAACTTGTACTATCTTCGTCAGTTGATTTCCTGAAACATCCATTTGTTTAATAAGTAGCGCCGAAAGGATCGATTCGTGTAAATGTAAATAAATAAAAAACTAGTATTCGAGGTAACTGCAATACTACGTCGATCATTCGACAACTCGCTTATTCTCGTGTCACTGTGAAAATTGTGGGTTACTCACCTAATGCAAGATGAAAGGAAGGTGGACAGAAATGATGGATTATAAAGCTTAGAAATTAGATTTGAAAAAAATGTAATGAAGGAATGACAGATTTGTCATTATGCACTTCAAATGCACACATACAAACAGGCATACACGAGCAGTTAATACTGTTTACATAAGCATGCGTAAGTGGTTCTAGATTAATCATTGGTAATTGTCATTGATAAAAACCAATTAAAACAAGAATAAATAATATTTCTTATTTGGTGCACAGTATAAGATGTACAGTGGAGTCCAGCTATTTAAGATCTTTTTGATGGTTTCAGCTCCAAGACAACTGACTTTAAATAAAATTGTTTTTCACATGTGAAACTAGTTATTAATGCACATTTAGTATCGAATTTATATTATGTATATGTATATAACACGTTGACTGCCAGACAAATATTCTTGAAAATTTCTACTAGGATTAAATATTATTTAAACTATTGCAAACTACATAATCAAACATTTATCGTGGTATTTATTTTTATTACTTCATACAAATTCATTTCCTTTGTTGCTCAACATTTAGAATTATCTATTTCTCGTGCTTCAGTGAAAAGCACTGTCACCTATATATGTTAAACTAATTTTATTTTCAACTCAAAAATAAACAAGCTAGACGCCACTGCACATTATTATTAATATTTTATATGTTTTTACACTCGTGCACATCGTCGTACATTTCCCCACGTTTTCACTTTTCATAAACGCATAAAACATTCGTCATTCATCACGGAAGTCTCCACTTTAATTCTTCGAAATATATAAAAGTGTATAATTGCTGTTAGAACTAATCCTCGTCGCTGAGTAGACAGCCAAGAGAAACTGGTGGCGGTGGCGGATGATGTCCAGGATGTGTTCGTCGATGGGCCATCATGGTGCTCCGTTGGGTGAACGTCCGGTCGCAAAGATCGCAAGCGTATGGCCTCACTCCTTTGTGCGTGAGCTTGTGCACTCTGAGTGGAACAGACCTGGAGAAAGATTTAGGGCAAAGGTTGCATTGGTAAGGTCGTTCACCGGTGTGCACTCGCATGTGCAACTGCAGGCTGTTTTTGTTGACGAGCGCCTTGCCACAAAGCGAGCAAAGAATGCTAGTGTTCGGGCAGACGTGCTTGCGAAAGTAAGCTTCGGTCGAGTACTTCTTATTGCACTCTTTGCACTCGAATATGTTTAGACCTACACTGTGTACTCCGTGAGCGATTCGTCTGTGAGCCCTCAGATGAGACACGTGCGAGTAAACTTTGTCGCATATTTGGCACGTGTAGCTTCTCATTTTCGACTGGCCGACTTTTACCGACCTTTCACCCTTTCGATTGTCCGGGTTAGAGTTCGACGGGGATTCATCTTCATTCTTCCCTTCATGCATGGATTTGGGTTCTACGGTGCTGTGCTCTCGCACATGATGAGCTCTCATCGCATACGCGCGTCTGTACTTTTTAGGACAGAGAGGACACTGCATGTAGGTATTCATTTCGTGAGATTTCAGGTGTGTCTCGAGGTCATCCTTGGAAACGAACGTGTAACGGCATTCGTTGCATCGAAAGCGATTTTTGTGAGTACTGCGTATATGCTCGTCCAGTTGAACCATGTTGTCGAAGTTTTTTTGACAAATAGTGCAGATCGTTCGTAGAGTTTCTAACATCGTGTCCACTACATCTACTGGTTGTGTTCCTGGTCCTATGGAAAATTCTTCGTCATCCTTATTTATCTCTGGTTTGGGTTTAATGGCCCTAAACTTTGTCTCCGATGAACATGATGCTTCGATTGGATTTGTGAGATTGATGAGCATCGGTACTTTATTAATTTTCAGTCCTGTCGAATCCTTAACTTCGATTTGCATACACGAGTTCCTAATCGCGGGGTTATTATACGGTACTAACGTTGTAGGTACTGTGTCCATGTCAGGCTCTAGCTTAAATTCCTTTATCGTGATGATATCGTTAACTTCATTTGGTAGTGTATTGCTGTTACTGTGGTTAACTTCGTCTAACAATGGGCGATATTTTGTTTCATCCAGGAAGAAATTTTCGTCGGTGTTGCTCTCACTCTCCTTTTTCACTATCCACGCACTATCTATGTCGACACAACTTTTATCAACATCCCGTGGCATATAAAGGTTCCTAATTGTGGAGTCTGTAATTGGTACTAACGTCGTAGGTTCTGTGTCCATGATCGGCTCTACCTTGAATTCCTTTATCATGATGTGATCGTCAACTCCATTTGGTAGCGTATTATTGTTACTGTGATTAATTTCGTCTAACAATGGACGATATTTTGTTTCATTCAGGAAGAAATCTTCGTTGGTGTTGCTTTCACTTTCCTTTTTCACTATCCACGTACTGTCTACGTCGACGCAGCTTTTATCAACGTCGCATGGCACGTTATACTCTTCTACATCGAAAGCTGCCGGCTCCTTAATCTGTATCAGCACTTCGTCCTTCTCCGAAGTAGATGTTTCGTTACAGTTTATAAAAACTCGTTGCACAGGATTATCTTCGACCGTCGACATCCTGAAACATCCATTCGTTTAGTAAGTAGCGCGAAAGGATCGATCCGTGTATGTAAATGCAAAACTAATAATCGACGTAAAAGATTGGATGACTACTCGACAGCTCGTTTGTTCGTGTGTTACTGTGAAGTTTGTGGGTAGTTACCTGTTTGCGATACGAGAGGAAGGTATGTGTACAGAAATGATGGATTATAAAGATTGGAAGTCCTATACACAAATATGTAATTGATAGATTTGTTAAATGTTCCATCGAAGCAAGTTTCTTACGTACTCAAAATAAACACTCGCAGTTAATCTTATTTACGTAACTACATGTCGGAAACTTAAAAATAATTGGTAATAGTTATTAGGAACAATTGAAACGAAAATAAAAAATATTCCTTATTTGCTAGTCGGTATAAGATGTACAGTGGTGACCAGCTACTTAACGGCACTTGATGATTTCCTCTAAATGTGAATTTTTCACCAAATTCTCTATCATATAAAATCTATTACTAATACACATTTAGTGTCAAATAACAAAGTATGTTAAACTATTTTCATTATTAACTCACGAATCACAGCCATACATGACCACCACTATATATTACATATTCCTGCATTCATCCACATTTTCACTCGCCATAGGTCTATTTATGACGTTGTCACTCTAGTGTCACAAAACGCATAAAAAAATCTATCACAGATGAAAGAACTAATCCTCGTCGCTAACGAAACATTCGAGAGAAACGCGTGGCACTTTTGGATGGTTTCCAGGATGTCTTCGTCGATGGTCCATCAAGGTGCTCCGACGGGCGAATGTCTTTCCGCATAGGTCGCACTCGTATGGTTTCACCCGTTTGTGGGCAAGCTTGTGAACTCTGAGTGAACCTAGCGTAGTGTACATTTTGGAGCAGATGTTGCACTTGTTAGGTCGTTCGCCCGTGTGCGCTTGCATGTGGATCTCCAGGCAGGTTTTGTTGGCGCATGACTTGTTGCATTGAGGACAGGTAACGCGCGCGTTTATCGGACGGCAGAGGTGGTTACGAAAGTTATCTTTGAGTAAATATTTCCTATGACAGATTTTGCACACGTACATATTTTTGCCTATACCATGAGCGATACGTTTGCGAGCCCTCAGATAAGTCGCCATACTGTAAACTTTGTCACAGACTTGGCACTCGTAGCTTCTAATTCTCGACGGGCAAGCCTTGTTATGTATGGATTTCGGTTCTACGGAGCTATGGACTCGCACATGATGAGCTTTTATCGAATACAGGTATCTGTACTTCATAGGGCATAGATGGCAATGATATAAGGTAATGTTCTCGTGATGTTTCATGTGTTCCTCGAGGTCATCCTTGGAGATGAACCCGCGGTAACATTTGGCGCAATAGTAGCGGTTTCTATGTTTCTTACGCATATGATTGTTCACGTGTTCTGGATCCATAGTTTTATGACAAAATTGGCAATACTTTCGCGGAAGTTCTATCATTGACGTTTGTGTCCCTAGTGCCGAAAAATTTTCACCAAGTTGAAATTGACGTTCATGCTTGCTCACATGTTCTGCATCCATAATTCTACGACAAAAATAGCAATACTTTCGCAAAGGATCTAACATTGGATTTGCTGATATTTGTGTTTCTAGTGCCGCCGAAAAATTTTCGTCAGTTTTATTTACTTCAGACTTTATCTGGGACAACTTAGCCAAACGCAGTGTACAAGATCGTTCTTTAACATTTTGAACTTCTTTTGCTACTTTCTTTCCTTCTGCATTTTTCGGTTGATTGGTTACTTTACTTTCTGTCGCATAATTATTTGCTACATTGTTTACATCCATGTTCCTCGTCAAAACTCGTTCGACTTTAATATTCATTACTGGTAGCTTTACTTCAGCTTCATTTTCTACTTTCATTCCTTTAACATTTATAGCTTCATTTGTTAATTCCTTTCCTTCCACATTATCAGCTTTATTTGGTACTTTCTTTTCTGCCAAGATCCTCGTTGATCTTCGTCTAACTTCAATATTTTTCTTTACTCTTCCTGTTACTTCCTCTTTGATTAATTTCTGTCTTCTTTGTATCTTTGGCTCTTCGATTATCATTGGTTCCATGGTTGCCTCATGCAAACAAGATTCTTCATTAACATTTTTAGCTTCATTTGTTACTTCCTTTCCTTCCACATTCTCAACTTTATTTGCTACATTCTTTCCTGCCAAGTTCCTTGTCCAACTTTCTCTAACTTCAATATTCTTCTTTACACGTTGTGTTCTTCTCTTTTCGATTATTCTCTGTTCTACATTTTTGTTTGTGGATGGTTTGGCTTTGGTGCATCTAGACTTGGTCTTCGATGGATACGATGACGCGACGATTGATTCACGTGGGGAAGTAATCGATATTTCCTTCTTAACGTCATGCAATGCCGATTCGACGCCATTCTGAACTGGTGTAACATTCATTTTCATAATGCTCGGTCTTGTCGCATACTTAATTTCAGTTGGCACATACTTGTTCTTAATTTTCTTTGTTTCGAGGTCTGTGATCGGCGCTGCGTCTTCGATGGGTTCTAGTTTGAATTCCTCTATCGTGATGACATCGCTAACTTCATTTAGTAGACCACTGCTGTTAAATACACTTGAGAACGAACAATAATTAACTTCATTTGGACGGTACATAGTTTCAACCGAATAGAAATCATCGTCAATGCTGCTTTCACTTTCCTTTTTCACTATCACCGCACTGTTGTCGTCGCGGTTTTTATCAACGTCGCAATGCATGCCGTGGTCACCTTCGTCGAAAACCGACAAATCCTTATCCGAAGTAGGTTTGTAAGCGTTTACAAGTGGCCGTACTGGATTATCTTTGATTGTTGATCTCCTGAAACACCCATTTGTTTAATAAGTTTTTTAATTGATCCGTGTATGTAAGCAAAAAGAAAAACGAATAATAGACGTAACAATCAACAACACTCATTTATTCGTATGTTATTGTAAGCCTTGTGGATTAGTACCATGTTCCAAAATAAAAGAAAAATAATATTGATTATAAAGAATGGAAATCCTATAAAAGAAATGTAATTGGCTGACAGATTTTGTGAATATTTCATCGAAGTTTTTACGTGATACTCGCATAAGTACGCGTTAGAAATCCCACACCAATCGTTAGTCATTTTTAGACTGTTGATATTTTTGCAAATTCATATTTTTACGCAGGTAGAGAAAAAGGTTTGAAACTTAAATAAAAGTACATCTTATTTTCTATACGGTATAACATGCATATTATTATTGATGTTTCACATATTTATCCATTTGTACACATTCTCTTCATATTTTCGTTTACCATAAATGCATAAACAACCGCAATCGAGCATATCAATTAAGGGAATCTTTATTCTTCCTATAGTCAACATAAAATTCGTGAAATCGAATCAATCCTCTATTTGTACTTCGTAGACCAGTGATATTTCTAATCAAATGAAAGTACAAATGATAGCCATTGATTCACATTTCCAGTATTGACACAAACAAAAAAATGAACAGTAACATCGTACGATCCTCAACATTTTAAATAACCCTCAAAAAAAGAAACAAAAGCATTCTATCAAATGTCCAATATTCTTCTCTGGTCCTGTGTCATCCCACGTCCTTCTTCCATCACTCCTGTCTCACATGTTGATATCCACTCCAATCATACGGTCAAATAAAAAAATGTCCACGATATTCAAAATCGCAGAGATTACTCCTTGTTACTCTCGAGGCTTTCATAGTGTACCAGAGGAACCAGTGCATGATTTTCAGGGTGTTTACGCCGAAGAGTCATCATGCTCCTGCGCTGTGTGAACCTCTGTCCACAAACATCACAGACGTTCGGTTTCCTGCCAGTGTGTATGAGTATGTACACCCTAAGTGCAACTGATTTGGTGAAAGATCTCTTGCACTCTTTTCACTGGTAAGGTCATTCACCAGTGTGCATAAGAGCGTGCATACGAATGTGCAGCTGCAGGCAGTACTTGTTATTGAATCCTTTACCACAATGAGAGCAGAGGAAGCTCTCTTTGCAGAGATCGGTGTGTACACTGGTGCGAAGGCTTTTTTCATTGACGAAATTCTTGTTGGAAACATTGCACTCCAACCTTTCGGGGCCTTTGTTTTGTATCCCATGTGCGATGTGTTTGTGGGCCACCAGATAAGATTTCTTTGGATAAACACTGTCGCAGCACTGGCAGGCGTACTTGATGTTGTTTTCACCATCCTCTTGAGCTACTTCTTCAGTATCCAGACTACTTTCGGTGTCGATCTGCATACCGCATTCATCTTCATCGGAAACTGGTGGCTCCTTAAGATCTTTGAGTACTTCGTCCTGGTCCAAAATTGGAGCTCCGTTACATTCTATAAAAAGTGGTTGCACTTCGATCGTCCACTTCCTGAAACATTCATTCGTTTAGTAAGTTTAACGAAAGGATCGATCCATGGAAGTGAACAAAAAAACAACCAATGATAGTCTGCACGGATGCGTTTGTCATTCGACTCGTTTATTCGTGTGTTATCTTTTATTTTAGAGAGGAGAAATTAAAATTATATGGTGGAAATAGGAAGGCCGATCGAAAGCATTTAATTACAGGAACTCAAGTAACTGTGTACACAACTTAATATTCGGTTATAATTAACGATACTTGTGTACTGATACTGACTGTTTATTTCAACAGTGTTAGAGATACTTTTATATTTATTATATATATGTACAATTTTCGAGTCTTATATAAAATTATAATGACGAGATTATGTTTTCATTGATAACAAAAATGAGACGATGCAGTACTTAATGCAAACTCAACAGTGTTTCGTATTGCGTGAACCAGAGTTAATATTCTTAGCGCTCTTAAGTAACTTAACATACAAACAACTTAAGTTTGCAGAAACGATAGGCACGAAGGTACTCAGAAGCGAAAGGAAGACACTGTAATACCTGGGCTCCATAGATAAAATAGTCATCGATTGTTCTCATTGTGAACACTAGGTTCTCCTTCAAGACCACAAGAACCTTTTCAGTCATGATACAGTCGCCTCGCTGTTGACTCAAAGCGTCCAATAGTCTTTGATAGTCCTCACTATAAAAATTCAATCATTTTTCAAGTCTACAAGAACCATTCGAGTTATGATACAATCACTTCGTTGTTGATTTAAGACGTCCACTTCTTCGATAGTCTTCATTATGAACACTCAATCATCCTTTCACGTCCCCAAGAACCTTTCCAGTCACGATACATTCACTTCACCCTTGACTCAAGGTGTACCATATGCTGCAGAACAGTTATGACTATTCCGAACCGCTATCAAGCATGGCAAGGGACACAGGAGCCGGCAGTGGGTTATTTCCCGGATGCCTGCGATGATGTCTCATCAAGCTCTTCCTCTGAGTGAATCTGAAATTGCAGATGTTGCACTCGTACGGCCTTACACCTTTATGAGTTAGCTTGTGCACCCTCATTACTCCTACATCGGTGAAGCGTTTGAGGCATACTTTGCACTGGTAACGCTTCTCGCCAGTGTGCCTCCGAATGTGAACACTCAGGAGATATTTCTCTTTGAACACCTTGCCGCAGTAGTCGCAGGTGTAGGTTCTTTCGTGAGTTTTCGAGTGACTTACGACACTCTCAGCGCTGGAGAAGAACCGTTTGCAGACGTTGCACCTGAACGCCTTCTGTCCTTTCTCCCATTTCCCGTGGGTGATGCGTTCGTGAGCCAACAATTGGGAACGCTGAGCGTAAGTGTTGTCGCAGAACTCGCAGGCAAAGTTCTTCTTTCGTTGCCCATTAAGCCTTCGCGCTTCGCATTTGAAGCGCAAAGAACCGTTCTCGCATATGGCTTTCGGTTCCACGGTGCTGTGTGCTCTGATCTGATGCTGTTCTATTCCCTTCTGAGATTTGTATTTCATTTTGCACAAAGCACACGCGAACGGGCCGTCTTTCTTGTGAATTTGGAAGTGCTCGTTGAGGAGGTCCTGAGACTCGTAAATGTATCGACAATGCCTGCAACGGTAGTGGCCTTTGTGCATCTTGCGAAAGTGCGAGTCCACCGCCTTCTTAGTGGAGTAAGTATTCTCGCAATAAGGACAAATTTCTTGGTTTTCCTTATCTCCCAGGGTGCTTGATACAGATTTTTTCCGATTATTCTTCCTCTTTCGTTTGGGTAAAACGTTACTCATATTTTTGATCGACGTTGACGAGTTATGTCTCGTTCCTCTCCAACATCCACTCCACTCCACTCCAACATTCTGAAGTTTGACGGATTCGTCTGTGTCCTGCATTGAGAGTGGATCATTGTTGATAATATTTAAGTCTGGTTCGGGTTTGACGTTAACTGGCACAAATACTTCAATAGGATTTGCAATTGACGTTAAAGACGTCTGCGAAGATTTTTCTTTGGTATCTTTAAATGCGGTTACCAGAGAATTCTTATCAACGCTTCGCAAGAAATCATCGTTCAACGACGAATAATAATTCATTCTTTGTAAATATGGATCACTAATGTTACTGGGATCTTCCACTTTCGGTTGAAGCTCGTTGCCAATGTCTTCGTAATGGCACTCGAAGTCCCAATGCTGGTCATCCTCGTCATCGGAAATTGGAGGGGCCTTAATACGAATTGGCATTTCACTCGGCCCCAAAATAGGTCCGTTACGTGCTATAAAAAGTGGTTGCGCTGGGTTCTGTGGAGTGGACGTTTCAGCGATCGTTGGCACCCTGAAACATCCATTGACTCTGTCAGCCGAAGGAATGTACTCGATAAACTCAAATAAAAGTAATCGATTCTCGGTACAATTGTTCATTCGCGCATCGTCATAGAACGTAGTGATTAGTTACAGAGTTTCAGAAAATGGAGGCGTGTACAGAAGAATTTTTAACGAGGACTGAATGAAATGACTGAAATAATTTAATTTTGAATTATATATTAGTTTACAGTGGTCGACAGTGACATTGTTAAGCGATGGAGTTCTTGGAGTCATACCTTATTTAATTTAAATTAACAATCTATTACTTTTTAACAGACGCTAATAATTCGAATATTTTCATATTCGTTACATTTCAAAATAATTGTTTATTCGAGTTCCTTATGTACAGCTTCAAATTCTATGCACAGTACGTAATGGCTAAAAGTACATCTTCCTTTGTGATAAAAGTGAAACTGCGTGTGTGCGTGGGTATTAAAATGTACCAAATAATGATCATGTAATACTTCGTATTTACCAAGTACGATAAACAAATTCCATGTCACTGCAATTCCTAAATAGTTAGTATTCATCCAGAAGTTGCTAGACACAATATATATATATATACATATTAAAAAAAAAAAAAAAAAAAAAAAAAAAAAAAAAAAAAATGTCAACAAATTGATGACTTCGACAACCTCTTCCAAATACGATCTAGAATTTTATTGAGTCGCAAAAACAACACATTAACGAAAGAAAGTAGTTCCAATTACTATTATGATTCGAATTATTCCCAACATTACAGAAGATCTAGTTCCGAATGGTATCAAGAGTGGCGAGGGAGACTGGAGGTGGTAACGGATGATTCCCTGGATGCTTTCGATGATGAATCCTCAGGGTGCCTCGCTGAGTGAAACTACGACCACAAATGTTACACACGTAGGGTCTCGCCCTCGTGTGGATGAGCTTGTGAACCTGAAGTGAGGTTAACCGAGAGAAACGATTGTAGCAAACGCTGCATTTGTAAGGTTTCTCGCCAGTGTGGATCCGAACGTGCATCTTCAGGATGTACTTATCCCTGAACACCTTACCGCAATCGTCGCAGGTATAAACACGTTCGTGCAATTCGACGTGGCGACGAAAGTTGTCTTCGATGCAGAAGCACTTGTCGCAGACGTCACACTTGAATTCCTTGGGTCGTTTGTACTTCACCCCGTGGATGATGCGTTCGTGAGCCCTCAGGTGAGTGAGCAGAGGATAAACGTTCGCACAGTACTGACAGGCGAAGGACTTCAATCGCAATCGACTGCCATTAGCCTGGTGGTCGTCGTTCGCCTTTGGTTCCACTGTGCTGTGCGCGCGAATCTGATGCTGTTCGAGTCCCCATCGATGCTTATACTTCATCTTACAGGAGGTGCACTGATACGGCGTGGCGTTTTTTTCGTGAAGTTTGGAGTGCTCGTCGAGGATGTCCTGAGACTCGTAGATGTACTGACACCTCTTGCAGCGGTAATGGTTTCTGTGGTACTTGCGAAAATGCACGTCCATTACACGCTCCGAAGAGTAAACGTTGTGGCAGTACGGGCAAACGTTCCTCAGGTTCTCCCGCGCCATTTCCGTTCCACCAGACGACGTGTCCGTCGCTGGAATTCTCGGTGGACTTTTGTAACGAACGCTGGATAGATACTTCATTCTCTTTTTTTTTACTGGATGGTTATCCATCGCGTCTGTGTTTTCGAGTCTCTTATTTGTCGTCTGTAGATTTGACTCATGGACTCCTACGACTTCTGTGTTCGAGTTTATTATTGTCCTTGGGAGAATGGGTCTCGTTTTCGTGATCGAAGATGATTTGTCTTTCCTTTTTTTGCCCTTTGTAGCCTCCAGTTCATTGCTCTCCATGTTGCAGGGCAATGATCCCTCACCACGTTGAACTGTGAGAATGTTGTTAGTAATGTTTAACTCTGTCTCCTTCTTGACTCCCACATACACGTTTCTTTGTTGACCTGTTGTTGGACTTGTAACAGATCTCAAAGGCATCTGCGAGTCTATACCAGGTTCATCTTTAATCTTAGCAAGACCCGTCGTCAGCAAGTGAGTATTACTTCCATAAATAGCCTTGTTCCTGCCACCTGCTGCGTCTTCATTCTTTTGTCTCAGTTCGTTAATACTACCATCGTAGTTGCTATCAAAGCTGCAGTGAACACTGTGGTCACCCTCGTCATCGGAAACGGGAGGCTCCTTAATTCGAATTGGCATTCCATCCAGGCCCAAAAAAGGTCCGTTACACGGTATAAAAAGTGGTTGTGCAGGGTACACTTCAGTAGACGTTGCTGCGATCGTCGACATCCTGAAACATCCATCGATTAAGTCAGTCCAAGGATAGAGTCGGGACGAGTCTGAGATTTAAACTATTTTATGTCTGTGTATTCGATTTCATTGGACTTTATACATCTTCGAATATTAATCAACGTGTGTGATGAGTAAACATGTGTGTCTCTGTTGGTGGAGAGAGTGAGATTGTCTGTAATTAAACGCCACAGTAGGGAATAAATACAGAGTTGGATAAACAAATTCCGTGACTCTGTGGTTTATAAGGAAGTATCTGATCGATACATAACACTGGTTTCGTTAGAATAATCACGCTACGATGAAGATGTCTCATCGCGCTGTCCTGCTGAATAAATCTTCGATGGTTTTTCCTGTGTGGGCAAGCCAGTGTACCCCAAGTATATGCGAATAACACTTTAAGCATTAATTTGCATCGATACCAAAGAGAATCTACCTTTCAAAGAGGATTTTTCTTCGAATTTCTTGCCACGTTGGTCGCAGAAGAGGCTCCGATTTCCGATTCTTCACTTTGCAAAAACACTTGAACTTCATTCTGTTTTTCTATGTCCTGAGATTCACAAATGTATCGACACATCCTGCAATAATAATGGTTCCTTTGCGTTTGGTCAAAATGGGCGATTATCACGTGTTTGGTAGGGTAACTGGTATTGCAAGACGCTACCAGTCTTTACTGAACCTCAGGGAGGACTAAATGCAGTAAAATACAATTTGAAATGATGAACTTTATATTATGATACACTTATGATATCGTTGGTCAATAATAATACAGTATATTATACACTTTCGCGTTACGTTGATCACGGAAGACAGTCGAAGCACTAAGTGTTTCCCTTTAAAACATAACGCTCAATGCAATAATAGGCATAAATAATGAGTAAACAGAACGAAAGAAATAAAACAAATAATGGCGTCATAATATCAATGGAAAATATTCTGCAAATGGCTATGGAATCAGCTTTTTTATAAAAGTAAAAAAGAAAATAATTGTACAAAAATGTGATAACAAATCTTCTCTTCGCAAATATAATTTACGTTTGCAGTAATAATACGATGTTTGTTCGAACTTAAAGTCTTGACCAACTACAGCAAATCGAAGCACACAGTAAAACGAAACATAAAACTATTGGTTTAATAATATTTTAACGAGGTTTAATAATAATTTAACAATAAAATAATATTATCGAACCATCGATATACCTCCTCACTAATAACGCGTACTGAATTGCTCTCATGACCATTTCCAGGTC